TGCAAAGATGCAATGGATAACTCTAAATATATCTTTCATATGTATTTCGGTCCATCATGAAATACAATCAAAAGGAATATGGTCTTTAAATATATTTAGGCCTATACCATATTAGATGTCCAAAGTCCACAACTTTAAGATCATGACTTTAAATGGGTTTAACTTTAAGATAGCATTTAATACACAATTAATTACATATGTAGGCTTACATGAGAGATGACATGATTGCTAATTCCCATATTAAGCATATGAATGATTAAAATAAAACCAAATACCACTTGAAAGGATACTATAGCTTGCTTTACAACCACCAAATCAGAATTTCCTTGTAAGAACAACGAGTCAGCAGCACCCTCCGTTTCCAAGTAACTTCATAAAGAGCCTCCATCTCTCTGCAAAGATGCAATGGATAACTCTTCGATATCATTATCCATATTTCCTCCATCTATCTCAAGATTTGAAAGTGCTTCCTCAACGAAAAGGGTAGAACTATTTTGCGTGCTGGACTCTGTCTTCAAATAAAATTCAGGCCTTGAACGCTTACTAGCAGCTGATTTCCTATCTTGAACAAGTGAACACCACAATGCAAAATTGCTGAGATCTTACATTCTTCAAAAATTGATGTCTTGTACACTAAATTATAATCTCCATGTGCTGTAATGAGGAAACAGTGTAAATTATCAGTTTTCCATGTTGTACAAAAACATTTATCAAGTAATGGCCCAAGTTGGAAACTTCACTTTTTAAAAGTTGAGGACCTATAACCATATTACGTGAAAGGTTAGGGAGCTGAACCTAATTTAACATTATTGAGCATTCCCAAGTCCATTTCACCATGCATCCAAACACATCATTAAGAGAATTAATTATTGTTACTCATTAGTTGCATCCATTCATGCAAACCGTTATACGACTTGAGAATTTTATAAGCCTTATGGTGAAAACAATAGACTTCATAGATTAAAAGTGAGAAACGCAAGATTTGACCCTACTACACCTAGAGGGGAGTGATTAGGTGTAAATGCAAAATTAGAGCTTAATTAACATGCAACAAGTTGCATGTTGTCTGGGTGATTAGTCAAACAATTCAATTGAACCTATCTTGAAATACTGCAATAATCCCAAAGCGGTAAATAAAGCAGTAAACAACACCA